CGTTTATAGCAACATTGCGAACTTGGCTGAAATCGTATTATTATGCCATTATCGCTTAATGTAATCGCTATGACCATTTCGTATGCCCTGAGGGAGTGCACTTTTTCGTACCTTTATTATTACTAGTTTTGGTCTACTACAATTAAATTCGCTTCTGTTGCAGCTCGATCGTGCTACACTGCTGCAAAGAGACAAATGCCCACAATTGGCTGTCCAACTGGCGTCAAAGCTTAAGATCCACGTTGATCCGACGACTTTTGCTGGTACAAAGCCTGATTTCAAACATGTTATGGAAGTGGTGTTTGAGCTGTACAAAAAGCTCGAACTCGGAGATCGAGAGTGCTAAATCTGTGATTTTTTTGTTGTTAATTATTTAGTCCTTGACGATATGCCGTGATATTGTGTGATAAAGATCAGTTTTAGGTTGGTTAGTAGAACAAATGAATGGGACAAGAAATATTGCATGATGCTGTGTTATTTAGGCAGTCCGTTCGCTCGCAAGTAAGGAGTACTCGCGGCATTAACGAATGCCCACATTTACCCATTCATAGTCGGTTATCCGATCGTGACGATAACACAGCGTTAGATATGTATCGATCGTCCAGTGCACAGAAACGTCTGACGCTATGCTTCCAATCCATTGCGATCGTTACGATCTTTACGAATCGGATCAACCACAACTGAATGTGTCTTAACAAACCAATCAGGGACCGGATTCAATTCCATCTCAAGGGTTTGGGGAACGAAAATCCCCTTAAGTTCTCGCTGTCTTAACGGCTGGGATTGTCCTGATAAAAGAAGTACATTAAGATGTACAGTACTCGCCGTTTGAAATCGAAAATTCACGCGAATAACGCGAATCCTCGTTAATTTCGTGAATTCGTTATAAGTCGGGTCAGAGTGAAGTATTCCAGAAACGGAAAACACCGTTGAACTCAGCTCTTCAAGCGCTACAAGATGGTGCTGTTATTTTTCAAAAGCTTGATTTCGGAATGCGCCATGCACTCGATTTCATCTCAAAAAGTAGTTGCTCGCATGTGATGTGTATATAATCCCGCTTATGCGGGCTAACCGCTACACACAAAGAAGGGCCTCAAAACTTACCCCAGAATGCGCCACGTACTCAATCTCATCCACTACATTGTGAGATTAGATGAATGTTATTTTCCGAATTCTTAGATCTTCATTTCGTTTTCAAGCGCTTACTAGCTTTACGTGTTCCCTCTGCTCTCAATATCCCATCCTCTGTATATCAAGTGGAATCTTTGAACAGTTCTCAGCAGGCATAGTGGGCCTATTATGTGACATTTTCCATTTTCAGAGGACATGTTTTGCAGAAAGCTGTGAAGATAGCGAACAATTTCCTTCACTGTCGTAGACTACGGTCACTTGTCTGTAAGGATTATATGGAAACCTTGGCGCAGGTGAGCGTTTCTTCCGTGGTGTGACCCCAAAACATCACCCCTTGTCATGCCTTTGCCCCCTATTACGTGACAAGTCCCATTTTTAGAGGAATGTTTTGTAGAAAGCTGTAAAGGAAGCGAAGAATTTCCTTCACTGTCGTAGACTATGGTCACTTGTCTGTAGGAATTATGTGGAAAACTCGGTCGCAAGTGAGCGTTCCTTCCGTGGTGTGGCCCCAAACATGCCTCCTCGTCATGCCCTTGTGGAAAGTTCAGATTTTTTGCATTTCCAGATGAACTCGCAGACCTGAAATGTGCCCCGTTAGCTTCCCGTGAAAAATGCTATCGAATGATATGCATTACTTCCCCAGTTGAAACTTTGGTTTTTCACCGTTTTCAGCCTTCCCCTATTGCCGGATTGGGCACTATCCCACGATTACTGCCCCAAAATCTCAAAGTTTCATTTTTCGTCGAAACTTTGTCTATTGGGTGTAATTCGA